CAAATAGAATCCTGAGCTATTGAGGCTGTTTTGGGTGTTGTGTTTTTGGGGGTTTTTTCCCCCCATAAGCTTGGAGTGGAAAGTCACTAAAGGGAAAAAAAAAAAAGATAATTATTAAGATAGTCACTTCTATTAGCTAAATTTTTATTCTCTACTCTAGGTGAAGTCTATATAGAACATATTATAATACTTCTTCCTTTGTTTGATTTTCTTTTCTTTTTAGTGGAATTGGATCACAGAATTGATTTTGAACTCAGAGAGGGACTTGTGGAGAGCCGCTACTGGTCTGCTGTTACATCACATACTGCCTATTGGTCGTCCTTGGATGTTGCCCTCTTTCTTTTAACCTTCATGTACAAACATGAGCACAACAATAATGCAAAACCCAATTTAGATCCAATCTGAACTCTTGAAGGACATTAATGGCTCAAAACTGATTTCTTTCTGTTAAAATGTGTGTGTCAAGATATGAAGATTTCAGGTTTAAGTGTGTTTCAGTTTTGTTTAGGGCAAGAAACATTTGAATTTAAAAGCACTTTATTTAAAAAACAAAAATATTTTTTCAGTCTGAAAGAAATTATTTACAGTTTTCATCACTTTAATTATGAGTCTGACAGAACCCCCTGCCGAAAATCAAGCACGACCTGGAATTGAGTTTAGGTAAACAGTAAGATTATAAATCACAATCTAATTTCTCCCAAATATAAAGGCATATTAATGAGTTGAATCTAATGTATTAACCAAAATATGTTGTAAATCTGAAATGGCCAACGTCCAGTGTAGCCTATGTAAAGATCACAGGTGTTATCACTGTTGTAGATTTCCATGAAAGCTTCTATTTCCACAGTTCCTTTGAAATAAGAGGATAACAGATTTCAAGTGTTTTGACTTTAACTTACTTAGAAAAATTAATGCTAAGAAACAATGTTTGAACTACTGTATTTATAATTTATTACCTCTAACGGCTTTATTTCAATATATGAAACATGACATTTTTTAAATGTTTCCTTTGAACAATTTAAGAACCACCTTTGTTTTCTATAGCGTTAAGTTCCTTTTTTCCTCAAAACTCCATCTTTGTACTCTTCAGATGAATATATAGACACTGTGGCATACTTTCAGTATTTTTTTCATTAAAAACTTGTGGTTTCACATAATTAACACTAGTTGTTTTGAAAGAAATGAACTTTCTACTATGTCACATGTACCTCAGTGAATGCTAAAGTTTTCTAAATTTGACACGGAGTACTCCCATCGTGGCTACATTAACTTTATTGTTTAATTAGTAAACAACTTTGGAGTAGTGAGTACTACTTTAAATATATAAACATCTGTGTGCCAAACAATTAACATATATAAGGGACAGAGTGCCACCAACACATTTTACGTGTGAAGTATTTTAAGAAAACCCTGTTGAGACACAAGGCACATAGATCAGGATTCCAAGGCACTGGGAGAGTTTTCCTCTGCTGTGATTGCCACCACAGTGCTTTTCATCTGAGGAGCTCAAAGTGCTTTAAGGTTCAGTCATCTGTGTGGTAGCTCCTTGAGGTAAGTAAATGAGCGTTTTTCTCATGTTACGTGTTAATACACTAAGGCACCAAAACATTTTAAAGTGCCTTGAATTAGATTACAGAGCAAACAGAAGAGCTCAGATTGAGGCTAGACTATATTCTTTTATATGCTGTTCAGTGACTAGTCATTCACATGGGACCTCTTGTAGTACGCAAACAATAATAATCACAGAAGTTGCAGTGCGTAATTTGGAGAAGAGACTGTGAAGCCAGTATTTTACCCTACTTTTCAAATATGTTTTGCGGTTCTCACATGCAGAGGAGAGTTACTCAGAGGGGACCATCTCTACCCCAACCAACCCTCACTTCTCAGTGGCTTCTACCAAGTTCCACTTAAGGTGCTGTGTTCGCTTATCCTACAAGGATTTTCTTAGTGGCCCAATAATGGTTGTCAGACCGGGAGCAAAGCTGGATCAGTTGCATATCTCACCTACTCCTTTCTTTACAAACTAGTGGAATCCATAGGCTCACCTGTAGGTTTTCCTGCGGCACCATCAGTCGTCTGGTCTGTTCTGGCCCTTCACGGAATTTGCACAACAGAAAGCACTTCTTCTTAGTGCTTGAAGAGATCCCAAGGCTCCATAACCAAATATGTGACTCCCCAAGAAGCGCTTGCTGTAGAAGGCTTTTGATGAAATCTTAGCAAAGCTGAAGCAATCTCTTTTGAATTGAGAGATTCCTGTGAACTCAGGTCATTTTCATACCCTGTTTTATTTCATACGTCTAACTTAGTTCTCAGGAAAATTAAACTCCTGTCTCAGATGACTGTATCTTAAAGGTACTTGAGCATATGTTGCTGTAGGTGGTGTGACACTCAAATGTCTAGGAGCTTTAAAGGGTTCATTCTTAACCACTAGAATGTGAAGAGCCCTTTTTACCTGAGAAGAGTAAAGTCTATCAAACCCTTTAATTTGCTACTGAGTGGGGGAAAAAAAAAAAAAAAGATATAGCTATAGCATATTATCTGCTTCTCATTTTTCATGTTGAGAAAACAAAATCCAATTTAACCATATGGAGTTTATTTGAATTCTTGAAAAGAGCAACATTTAAAACCCCCTTGGCAAAGTGAGGTATTCTGGATTACTCAACAGGTGGTTTGATTTCAATTCATTATTTCATCAATAGACATGGTGATCTTGATTTGATAGTACTTCTCTTGTTTCCATGTCTCTGCATGTTATCATGGAATGTACTTGTATATACTCAAGTAATATACAGAGTATGTGTAATTCCAGCTTGATTTAGAAGCTAAGTCCGTTACTGAGTAACATTTTGCCACTTTATTCCAGCAAGTACTAAATTGGCCAAAAAGTTCTGTTTTTGATACCATTAAAATTTTATTCTCTATTTTGTGTACATGCTATGATGATTCTTCTGAGTACTGGTCAGATCATTCAGTTTTAACCCCGTTAGGGTCCCAGGAATTATCAAAACTTAGAATAAGCAGAATGTTTTGGATTAAAACTTACCTTATTTTTACTTTGAAATGAGCTTTTGCTAAAGCCTTTTATCGGTTCATAACTTTATTTTCAGCAGTAATTATGCTTGTGTTCTTGTACTGGAACTATCCCTTTATATGTGAAGCAAACGGTAAGAATCTTTTACTTCTTTCTATTGAATAGCATCCTCAGCCTTTGGAAACTCTCACACTGCACGTGTTCTGTCGAAGCCTTCAGACAGTGACGTGTGAGCATTCGTCATCATTCTCTTCTTCTCTCTGTTGTTTCCTCATTGGGGGCTGAAGTATCCTAGTCCGCAGGCATTTCACACACCATACCCCCACTTTACAGTGCCCTGAAGAGTAGACTGGGAAAAGCGGTGGTGTCCTGCTCAGGTTGCAGTAATGGCACCTGAGCCCCTTAAAGTAGAGTGGACCAGACCTAGAGATTTCACTGGAAGGCCTGCAGTGGAGGAAAAGCAGTCGAATGGGTCTCCTGTTAATTAAGTTGGTTAATATTTCTGTCTTTTCAGCTACTACATTTGGGTAATTGAGAAAGTTAACTTAAGTGTATGTCTTAAAAGTGTTTCTTTTAATATTCTTTTAAGTTTCCTTAAGTAATCTCTATACCCAAGCTGGAGCTCGAACTCCCAACACCAAGAGCAACAAGAGTTGCATGCTCTTCTGACTGAGCCACCCAGGCGCCCCTATCATGAAAGTATTTTTCAGCAATCTTGTTGGCATAGAAATGGGGCTAAAGAAGAAATGTGTGACATTGAAGAAGGGTCAAGACAGAGCAAGAAAGAGGATATAGTAATCCTACACTAGAGAACTAGAATTTTACTAAACTCTGAGTGTTGGCTAGTTGACTTCCGTGGATAATCTCAAGTTGTCTATCAGTATTCTGTCGTCCCTGGACCTCACATCTCTGCCAGGAATGGATTATACTCTGCCTGGATTTGAAATACATGCACTAAATATCTTTATAATTAGGTATGGTCAATATGTATAGTTTCCTAATGTTTTGTAAGAATTTACTTACATGATAAGCCTTTCATTGAACTTGCAAAGAGCAGATTTGGCAGGAAGCACTGCCACTGGATTCTTAACTCTGTCACTTCTATGATGGGTCTAGAGAGCCTGTTCGACCCACGCTGTGTCCCTGTATATTCTCCTTTTGCGTTAGTCAAGAGGAAAGGAAGTTGCAAGGAAATATAGTATTGAGTTTAGAGCTGTGTACAGAATGGCAGGCTATAGAATTTCATCTCAAAGTTCTCATTTAGTAAACCTGACTGCTGTGATGGAAACAGCCTGTTACAAACATCCTGTTTTGGTCGTTGGTGGATGTTTGTGATAATATACAAAGAATCCTAAGATCTCGGGGTTTGTACAGCTTGTAGAGGTCATCGGACCCAACCCTGTTTGAGTTTCATGTGAGCATTTAAGTAGCATAAAGTCATGAAAAGTAAAGCCAGAGACAGCACATTAGGTTCAGCCCAACAGACCGGATGAAAGGCTAACCGCACAGCGCAAAGGAGGGAAGTAGTGATGGCACCCATAAGGCAAAATAACCACTAAGGACAGTAGCATTCTAAAGGTGGGAGGGCTGGAGAGATCAGCATTTTCCAAAGCAGGTTTTGCAAATGTCAGCTGATGGTTTTTTAGAAAATGTGTTTGGGAAATGCCAAATTTAAAAGAATCCTTTACAGCAGGACTTTGGGAGCCTTTGATAACACTAAATGTAGTAAGAGTCGGGCTGGTACTGTGGGGATCAGGGAAGGGAAGTTTTTCTAAATTTATTTAACCAGACTTTTTTTTTTTTTTTAGTTGGAATATACTTAGAAAAATGCTGATCACATTTAATTATCCCATTTTACAGAGATCTGCCCCTTCGTATGATTTCTTCATTTGACAAGGGACCACTCCCACCCTGTAAGATAACATGTCTAGCCAATGATAGAATCAGAATTAGAACCTAGTCCCCAAAGCCCCCCCCCCCCACCCCCCCCCACGTCTTGTAAAGGTCATCAGACCCAACCCTGTTTGAGTTTCATGTGAGCATTTAAGTAGCATAAAGTCATGAAAAGTGACTGAGAAGTCATGAAAACAGACCACACGGCCTGTTTCCTTCCCCTGGGAGATCCGGAGCTCCTGTATGGCAGAAACTACCTCTCTCCATTTTTGTGCACCCCCTCTGCCCCACCCACAGCCCTCTTGTGTAACTTGATGCTTTAGGGGCTGCAAGCTCTTGACACATGGCTCCAGGCTTGAGTTCCCCAGTTGGTCTCCTTTGTTTGCAAGGCCCATATGAAAGAGTGCCCTACCTGATCGGGACAGAGGACCTTTCTCAGACTCAAGTTGTCTATCAGAAAAAATAAGAAAATAAGAAAAAAGTAAAAGCTACACCAGAAACATATTAGTTGTTTTCCATTCTGGAGACAAATGCAAACTTGCTAGGGAGGTTACACAGTGTTAAATAATGTTTGATATTCCTTTCATTTCCTTCCTGTTTGTATGTTGGCCTTTCATCAATTCATGACAAGCGGCTCCCTTCTAAAACTGTCCCAACATAGGTTAACTAATCAAAGTTTATTTAATCTAAGTACTTCAGAGAATAGAAGAATTTTCTGCTGCTCGTCCTGCTGCTGTGTGTGTGTGTGTGTGTGTGTGTGCGCACGCGCATGCGCTTGTCTTCCAAAAAAATAATCTCTTGGCAGATAGCATGAACTTTTCCTCTGCCTTTGTGTTTGAATAAGGGTGGTAGTGTGCTTAGTATTGTCTGTCACCTTATGGTTTTTCATTTATTTGTAACAGGGTGCAACTTGCTTCCTCTCCACCCTACAGTTATCAGGATAGTTTGGGAAGTCACCCTTTAGGAAGATTACATCTGGTCTTCTGTCGGAGTAAGATGAAAAACAAGTGTATTAACTCTTCACCTTTACTGCTTTCTCTTGGAAAACGAGTATCTATGAGCATCATTCACCCACACACACCACCTTCTCTGCTTGATCTCTGAAAACCTTTGATTCCCTGTGAGCGTTGTCATAGACAAATATAACCATTTTTGGTTCTGAGACCATCATAATCCAAACTCTGCCAGTTTAAGAGTCTGAGG